TCTCCAGAAGGCTCACAGCTGTTGGTATCAGTGGTGTGTTATGACAATATAACCCACTTAGAATAAGGTTTCCTCATCTAAACGGTCTATCGCTTATCATTAGTAGCAGCCCGGAAAAAAAGAAAACCTCTGATGACTTTAGAGCAGCATCTGTTCCACACAAAGACCAAACACAACGGTGAATTCATTATTAGAGGTCCAGACCATCACCGCTGTTCCTGTGTGCACAACATTAAGTCTTACAGTACGGATTCTCCCGGAGCCGTAAACTGCTCGGGGCAGAAAATTAATATGTTATTAGAAGTAAATGATTGAAGTGCATAAATGCACGCACAGTACACACAGCCTCTCAGTGGTCTATCCATGCCCTTCTCTGTGACCTGACAAGCTTGTACTGTCTCATTTCAAACAATAACAGTTGTGCTGGCTGAGTGAGTGGCCAGCAGCAATCACTGCAGAGAGGCACGGCTCATTTGTCAAATGGAGGAAGCTCTGCAGGGGTCACCGCTTGTTTAAACATGAGGCCGCTCGCTCTCCGAGCTCGATCCCTCTCACCACTTTCTGGCTCCGCTCGTGTCGTCCCTCTCTCCCTCTCTCGCTTTCTCTCTCATTCTTATCGCCTACTTCCAGGCTCCAAAGTACACTGCTGCTGAGAAAGTCATTTTATCCTTCACTGTCATGTAAATGAACTGCCGTACACAAATGAATCGTCTCGTAAAATATGGACTCACACAGGAAAAGATTATGGAAAGGCAAAATAAGGCAAAGTGATTTCATCTCTCTATCACTCTTATATGTCAGACATCACTGGCAGATCAGATTTAGGATTAAAGTGACTTCGACTCTTAAAAAAATCGATTTCTACATCCTTCAGTTTAAGTGAGCACGACTGGAACAGCAACGGGTGAGCAAAATAAGAAGAAACCAGACATTACGCCACCCATCCTGCACTTCAGATTTAAAATAGCACTTGAAAGGATCTGCTAAAAAAACACTATTTAAGCTTTTTTTATTCAGAGACAACTTCCCTGATCAAAACACACAAGCTAATTATAGCCTTTAAATAATGAATTTGGCTCATTTCCAGCCCGTGTCGTATTGTGTCTGGTTTACAGTCAGGAGTTTTCATTGTGAAACCGGTCAGAGGGTTTTGACACTGAGCCAGGGGAGCTGTTAGCTTGACTCACCATTATAACTTTAATTTAATGGATTTAGATGCAAATGATTATTTTGATTCATCCATTTCCTGCCATTTATGTGGGTTCGGGGTCGGGGGTCGGCAGCCTAAGCAGAGACCCCTAGACTCCCTATTCCCAGCCACTTTCTCCAGCTCATCCAGGGAGACACCAAATCAAGCAGCTTTGTTGTCCTGGGTATGCACTAGGACTCCTGCCAGTACGACATGGTAGAAACATCTTATCTAGGAGCCATCCTGGACAGATGCCCGAAGCACCTCAGCTGGCTCTTCATTGTGTGGAGTAGTAGCAGCATGAATGATCAAGCTCCTCCCCATGTCTCTAAGGACGAGCCCATCACAGGAATCTAATTTCAGCTGCTTGTATCCACAGTCTCCTTCTTTTGGTCACCACCCACAGCTTGTGACTGTGAGTGAGGGTAGGGTGTAGATCAACCTTCTCTTCACAACAACAGACACAACATGCACATTACTGCAGAGGCTTTACTATTCCTATTATCTCCCTTATTCACTCACTTGTAAACAAAACCTCGAGATACTTAAACTTCTCTACCTGGTGCAGCAACTCATTCCCAACACCAAGTGAGCAACAAACCACCTCATTGTAAAAAAGAAGAGAACAGATCCTCAACGCCTCAGCTGCACCTAGAAATTCTGTCCATAAAAGTTGAACAAAATGACAAAGGGCAGCCTGATAGAGTCCAACACCCATCAAAAAATAGTGACTGAGAGTTATAGCTGGGATTTCAAACCAAGTTCTTGCTACAGTTTAAAAAGAACTAGATCATCTGCAACACACAAAACAGAACTGGTCCAGTGTTTGGGTCTCCCTGAAGTTACAACACACTCTACATATTATCTTCTAGAACCACCACCCAAGTCTACCAGTCCAGAGGCACCACCCACAACTTCTGTAAGATGGTGCGACCAAGTCAGCCCCACGACATCCAGAGCCTTAAGAAACTCAGGAAGAGTCTCATAAACCCCCGGGGTTCGTTCAGGAGTTGTTTAACTGGGCCTAGACTCTGTTTTCTCTACAGAGGCTGTATCAGTGGGAATGAGGAGATCATTGAAGTCACCGCCTGGCTATGTCCTCAGGTTATGTCAGCAGCACTCTATCCCCACTGTGAGCAAATTATTAATTTAAAATGTTTCTCTTGTTAAACCAGTAAATCCACAGTTTCTAAGTTCTAAATAAAATGAAATTAAATACAGCGTTGGTTTGTTGGTTTTGGTTCTTTAGCTACTAATGGCCACATTTGTATTAAGAACATCAGCAGTCATGTTTTGTCAGTCTGTTAACTGGTGCTGAGCAGTTCATGAGAGCCGCAGTAGTGAAGCTGAACAATAATGTGAAGGAAATCCAAAAGAAAAAGCCAAAACTGTCTGACTGAGGGACTGAAGAATCCAGTTATAAGTCTTTGTGGGAGGCTTCTTTCACAACTGTCTACAAGCTACTTGTACAGCCAATTTGAATTTAAGTTAAGTTGCTTTTTAAATTAATTTCTATGTCCAATCTTCAACATGAAAAAAGAAAAAGTCTTCAACAGAGCACAATTTGACAAAGCCATCCTGATTTGTTAATCAGGACTCTGCAGCCAACAGCACAAATATATTTTGCTTCAGGAAAATCACCATGAAGCTCTGACAAGTCTTCCAAGAAAAACAGAGAGAAAACGATTTAAAATGGAAAACACAGGATATGACCAGTTGGTGAAGGTGGTGGCCCTTATTCCCAGAAATCTTGCCTCATATCAGTGACTCAGACCATTATTTAGACTCCGGTGTGTGTGTGTTATTATGCAAGATACCGGTCTTATAGCTGACTCCTGCGCCTTCAGCCTCTGCAGTTGTTGTAAAGGGAGGGGGGCAAAGACTGCAAGAGGTCAAAGGTCAGAGAAAGGAATGAGATGGAAAAGCTGGATAAAGACAGATGCAGACGGGTGGTCAGGACTTTTTCTTTTTTTTAAAAAAAACACCAAAAAAAACCCAGCTCCAGCTTTGGAGGCATGCCTCCAACGGCTCTCCAACCCACAGACATTCAACCAGCTGCAGAAGGCCGAGATGGATTACAGTCTATCTGTCTGAGTGTTTTGGGGGTTTTTTTGGAAATTGGCATCAATGCACAGCTAACAGCTCACCAACTGAAATTACAAGTATACAGCACTCTGACAGGAAGAGAACAATAGTGGAGAAAAAGAGGAATGATAAAGATAAAAGCTTTAAAATGTGGGTGGCTTTTTGGTGTCCAGATGTATTTTATCATTAGCAGCTGCTTTGTGCAAAATGACAAATATCCTCTGGCATACCTTGTAAAAGCAGCTTCCAGTGCGCTTTCCGGAGAGCACATGTGCTATTTTGTCATTGTCAAATTAAGGTTGCGCTAATGTAAGGCGACACTTTCATTTACTCCAAAGATGTGCGTCCGTAGCAGAGAGTGTCCACTATTCTCAAGATCACCACTTCGTTTTAGGCGAGCGGGAAGAATTTATGACCTCAGTCTTTAAAAAGAGGAAATCTTTCCTCTGTTAAGAGAAATGATAATTAACAAACAAATCTATAATAAAAAGCACAAATTTATAGAGAGGCAATCAATTATATAAGAGGCAGGCAAACAGGTGCAGGGCTGAATCTCCTTGGGAACATATGGGAGGAGAACAAGTGCTTAGGATGAGCCATTTGGGGATTCTACAAAAACAGATCCAGCTGCGATAAATTCCTTAACCTGCGATTAAAACTGAACTTGTGTGTGTCAAACACACACAAATACTGTGTGTGTCAAAATTAATGCCTGAGATACTTGATGCACATAAGTGCACGACTATGCAGAATGCTGAAGAAATACTGGCAGACATTAAACGTGCACAGATACTCAGCATTACCACCATCAACTCACTGATTACAGGTTGATTGATATAGTTTGACACAAATATTGCAGCTCCCTCTCACTTGCTTGCAGGTCTTCAAGCAAAAGGGTCCATAATTCCTTCTTTTATATCCTCCAGTCTTTGCAGGCTCTGATCGTTTTTTTCCTGTAACCACACTAAACTGTAGGTCATTACTAGCTGGACGGATGCTGCACAGACGTTTCTTTACCACAGCGATGACGACTGCAGCCCGTCTAATTTATGTTACATAAATAAAACAACAGTAGAGCTTTTTAGATCCCTTGCAGATGGTTTTTGATGTACTTTATACACTTGTGACCCTTTACTTTTTTCTTTGCTTGTTTCTACAATTTAATGGCAGTTTTGTATTAAATCAGCTTAACATCATCCAATGCTCCTCGCACAGCATATACACAACTTTGTTTTCGTTGCCAGCCTCAGATTTTATTCCCGCTAGGCTTATCAGTAGTTTCCCTTTTTCGACAGGAGTCCTTCATTGTGTCACAGCATAGGCATGTTTTTAGTGGCCAGCAGGGGGCGACTTGTGCTACTGGAAAAATAAAAGAAGTCGAGCTGTAAAGAAATCTACGAGAAAATAATGCTTCTGCTCACTTGATTTATGACTTCAGTAAACATTTTCCTGATGAGTTTGGGTTTTGTGATTAAATAAAACATTATGATCTTTTTTATAAATTCTGACCCCTTACTGTGTGGTCCAACTGTAAGTATAAAGTTTCTATATTTGAAGACTTTAAATGTGTTAAAGTTAATTTATTAAGTCTTAATCTACTTTTATAAAGAATAAAATTGGGGCTACAGATATCTCTGTTCCATTTGTTTGTTGCTCTCACTGTGAACTGACTTCGCCTGCAACCTGCTAACAGCCTATCAGCGTCAGTCTTCAAATGCGGTGGTACCTGATGAAGTGTGTGAGGTTACACCAGTTCTGTGGATCTATGTGAGTCATGTCCTCCTTGAATCCCTCTCCACAAACCTCCACCTCCCACTGCAGACGGGACTCGTTGCAGACTTTCCTCACCCGCGGGGGAGTGGGCTCTGTGCTGAAACTGTCGGAAGCTGAGAGGAAAGACAGCAGAAGACAAAAGTCCTGTTTTGTGTGCGTGACTTTGGAAAAACTGAACAATAACTGAGATGAAGCATGGTAAAGATGGACGCTCATGCTTGTTTGGTTTGTGTTCATGTATCGTTTATGAGCTGTCTCATGTTCTGTCATCAGCTGAACCATCACATTCAATATGTCTCATTTGAACTGTTTTTGCTGACCCAACTGTTACTGTCCTTCTTACTGATGCATGAATAGATGCTCGGATAAATGGATGGATATTCTCACCTGACAGTCCTCTCATCATCCCGACATTGACTGTAAAGAAAACCAAACAAGAACACGATTAGAATAAATTCATTTCTACACTCTCCCTGTTGTTTCTTAACTATGACCTTTGACCTTCCCCGCTTGTTATTCCATCTTCCGCGTATGGTCACATATGTCATTGTTTTTGCTACAGAGCATGTGACCCATGTCTGGACTCTATAAGGTCATCATAGCGCTTGTTAATATTCAGCGAAAGTGAACTGTGGCGCTTTTTAAGTACACAAAGGTGAATTACATTTTTACCGTTGAGCACTTTTTTTTCTTTTTCTTTTTTACTTTATTTCTTGAACGTTTTTGAGCACTTTTGAACCAGTGTCTTAACAGTTATCAGTCTCACCTTTTCAAAGTTTTGAAGGAAACATATTGAATGTCAGGACCAACTTATTTGAAGACGTTGTTGTACGAAGGGCTTGACTTTAACATCACACTCCTATAAGTGGCTATGTCCAAGGCAGAGGTCAGAGGTCAGCAGCTTTTACTATGAATAGAATTATTTTTAACCAAAGTTCTGTATTCATATATGAGGTATATCGCACCATCGGCCCCTCTGGCCATCACCAGTAGGCGGTAGGTGAAGTGTCTTGCCCAAGGAGCTGGGGATCAAACCGGCAACCTTTCGGTTACGAGATGAGCTTCCCAACCCTTGGACCACGGTCGCCCGTTACAATAACAGTAACAGTAACATTACAATAACACAATGTTTTCTTGCATTTATGGTAAAAAGTAAGAAAACTTCTCTTAGTTGCTTAGGCGATCGATTTCACACAAGAAATCCGCCGGATTTCACACAAGACTGATGTAAGTCTCTCAGTTCATGTTTCCTCACAGTCTTGGGAGTCTTTTGTGTGTTGCACAAATATTTTAATCACTATGCTACGGAGGTGCTAGGATGACAGGCAGAGAAACAGGGGAATTAAATCTAATATGATGTGTAAGCCCGCTCTGAAACATGGTGGCTGTAAAGCTGTGCAGGTCGTTGTGAGTAGCTGTACTTGTGCAAATGACTCATATTAAACTGAGCACATTTTAGTATTACATAGAAGTTCAGGCCTGTAAACACAGATATCTCGCTGTTCTTGGAACATCTTTCCACATTTACTGCACATCAAGCATAACAGTAAGCCAGCAGTGTCGGCAGTGAAAGCAAACAAATCTTCACACATGCTCTTATTTTCTTAATTCTCCTCCACAATTTATTGTTTTCATATTTGTGCTTCAATAACTTTTCCTTAATTAAAGAAACCTATTATCATTTTCTAATATTTACCTAATGATCTTATACTCAACACACGTGGATATTATTTCGCTTTATTAGCAATGTTCCCTCTATCTTGGCATTTCCTTTAAAATCTATTTCATGTTTCACTTTGGTTTTCTTTTTGGTGTTCTTCATATTTATTGTTTCTCAGTCTTTCAGTGAATTTCCAGAAGTCTGAAAGACAAAAGACAAAAATAAGCAGAGACAAATGCAAACTAACATCTGAAGCCAGGTATCTCAGTGACACCCTGCAGTACAATAGTGCACAAGGGATAAACTTCTATTTCCCTTCCTTCTTTTTTTCATCCTGTGACTTTCCGATTCAGAATCCTGCACAGGGCTGCCCATTTTTACTCCAGCAGCATGAGGAATGACCAAAGCTAAACATGCTGCTGCGCAGGAAGGCACAGCTCCCTTTGAAGTCTCCTGCTTACAAAGCAGTGGATCAGTTTAAGAGACACCCCGGAGGGAAAAGATTGTTACCAAGTTAGCATGCTAAATATAGAAACTGCTATGTTTGAGCATGTAAGGATATTCAGATTTGTGGGATTGTCAGGGTTTTTTTTCCTAGTGTGTGTGTTCTTTTTAAATACTGTGGTTAGTACCTGTAAATGGATACAGCTGCAGGGTCCAGTTAGCAGAATATTTAATGAAAATGTTTCTGCAGGTAGTTCTGAGCACACAGCAGTGTTTTATGGCAAATTCTCACGTTACCGACACCTAAAGGTTAAAGTTGAGCTGCACTGTGATGACACTTTTATGGCCGTATGAGGTGCACCCAACAGCAAGACTGGATTTTTTTTAAACTGACTTATCAGTGCAGATTCGTTAGAGTAATACTTTTTTCTTTTCTTTTTTTATAATCCATCAAAAATTGTTTAACATGTATGACCTTCACTGCCAGGGTAATATTTTTCTTAACATTCTTCTCTGCTCCACTCCAGAGATTTCCCCAAAAACCTTGCAACACAAATGGTAAATGGCCTGCATTTGTATAGCGCTTTTCTAGTCCCTAAGGACCCCAAAGCGCTTCACACTACATTCAGTCATTCACACACACATTCACACACTGGCGATGGCAAGCTACATTGTAGCCACAGCTGCCCTGGGGCGCACTGACAGAGGCGAGGCTGCCGGACACTGGCGCCACCGGGCCCTCTGACCACCACCAGTAGGCAAACATGGGGTTAGTATCTTGCCCAAGGATATTTGGCATGCAGCCAGGAGGCAGCCTGGGATCGAACCACCGACCTTCTGATTAGTGGCTGACCTGCTCTGCCACCTGAGCTACAGCCACCCCAAATGTTCAAAAAACAAAACTCTGCCTCCTTTGGTGATGTTTCATTAACATAATAAGAGTAAAAGATGCAATAAAGACATTCAAGTCAAGATTTGTGTGTGTGTGTGTGTGTGTGTGTGTGTGTGTGTGTGTGTGTGTGTGTGTGTTAGGGGGGAGCTCTATATCGTAACAGCTCACTGGACTGTCACTCCCAGATTTCTCAGACTGGATCCAAAGACAGTCACAGACTCTGGCCAACAATCCCCCAGCTAATGCCGGTCAAGTCCATCACTGTTATAAGAAAATCAGAGAAGTGTGAAGTTGCAAATAGAGACAGAAAATCATTTTTCATCATCCTCCAAGCCATCAGCTCACCAAGCAACTCCTTTATGTCTACAGATCAATACATCAAATCAAATAATATGTACAGAGCACAATAAAAAACTCTTTGAAACTTCCCCTCTTTGATTTCAAAGCTTGGCTTTCAGCCCTCATGTTCCCACAGGTCTCCTCTTGCATTTCATTATTCCCACCATGCCGGCATATCCTAAAAATAACATTCTCTGTATAACACTCAACATAAATACATAGAGTACATAATCTGCTGTGCAGCAAACTCAATCCCTCGTAACACATATGAGCTCTGTGTTCGATTCACACTTAAAACCACTCGGAAAGTTACATTTTCCAAAATGCACAATAACATACACGTTATTGTGAAGCCTCAACCCGCTGAACTCAAACTTAATCAAGTTGCTTGGTGAATAAATCCAACCAGCGAGAGACAATGAAAGTGAAAACCAAGCAAAAACAGAACAAATAAGCGAAGACACAGAGCTCCAACACGGGGAGCGGAACTGCAAACAAACTGACTTACTCCTCCACTAACCCTCCGATCCCCATATCCAATATCGACAATTACCCCATATTGTCACGGCTGCTGCTTCGAAGCCTGCCGTGCCTGCAGTGTGACAGAAGGGTAGTATTTGATTCTCTGGGATGAGAACACTTTGGAAACCAGTGCACTTCTGCATTAATCAATCTGCTTCAAATCCTCATACCTGAAGTGGATGGAAATTACTGGCAGAAGCCATGTAAATGGAAACAATGAGTATGTTTTGGTATACCACTGCTAATTTTACTCGCTTATTAATTGAGTAATAATCTGTAATATTGTAAATCTGTGCAGTTTTACTCATTTGACTAGTCTGGTTTTTAATATAATGCCTCAAGCCACCTAAAGGAACTTTACTGTGCTGTAAGATAAAGACCCCACAATATAAAAGTGAAAATGAGACAGAAACCTGGCTCAGGGAGGGGCAGCCATGTGAGCTGCTGGGGATGAGGTGAAAGAGAAGGAAAAAAAGGAGACAGGACCAAATACACACTACAGGAGGCATCTGCTTCATTTAAGACTGCTTCAGTAGCTGGTATCAGTTTACACACATGCAGGTGTTCTTCTCATTTCCATAATATCATTTGTACATGCCGCTGTCAAATAAGCCAAAGGGAAGTCCAGAATAACTTCTGAGTTATTAAGGAATTCAAGCTGGATGGAGGATCTGACGAACCTGCAGCCAACAAGCTAACAGCAGGTCTCCCTCCAGTAAGCGCTCAGGGTAACAGCAGGAGAAGGTCTGAGAGTAAATCCCCTGTATCAGCTTTATGAACTGGAAACACAAGAGAATTGGCATCATGACTACATGTGTGCATGAGAGATTTGGATGTTATGTAATGATTCGTGATTATGAATTATAGCAGCTTAGTGAATTTCTCGTCCTGGCATTTGACAGATAAACAAACTCAGTATTAGATTTAAAAGGCAGATGAAATACTGCCAGAGTGGCTTTGAACAACCCCCCCCCCAAGATTTTTATTACTTGTTTGGGAACAACTTATTTGCAGCAAAACAGACCACAGAGCAACATTAGCTGCATTTGGAGCCAGCTCATGAGTTTTAAAAAGTTCCTATCACATTTTGGGAAATAGGAATCAAGACTGCTGTCAGCTTTTTAGTTTAAGTAGAGCATAAACTAATAAGCTTCTTCTCATCTAAACCTAATATTTCTTCTTTTAGCAGCTTAATGCCCCATTTTATTCACCTGCTTGATGCGGGGCAGGCAGGTTGATGAGAGCGTTTTTAGTGAACACAATTAGCTAACAGATGCTAAACTGAGCTGTAAAGCAGTGACTCATTTTACCGCTAATTATCTAAGCCAACAACAGTGAATTTTTAAAGTTTGAATCCAGATGACTCTGTGGAGCAGTTGGGCACATGTGTAGAAAAGTGCAGACTTTGAAAAACAAATTGGAAGTGAAGCATACCAACGGGTTCTTCTCCACTTCTGCAAAGGGGATGAATAGAAGCAATGCAAAATACAAAATACTGTACTGGCTGTGAGATGTAGAGCGTGTGAAGTGTACACATGCCGAGATGAATTTCTTTTATGT